GACGCGTTTCAGAAAGGCGGGGCATAGAGGAGAAACAATAATGTACAGTATGTGGAAAATAATGTGTTTTTTTAACCTTAAACCGCATAAACACATTTCATTACACCAAATACACAAAATAATGTTCTTTTTAGCAACATCATATGACCCCTTTAACATTTCCTGCGGTGAGATCAAACACGTCTATCTATTCAGCCAAGAAGCAGTGCGACCTTTATTAACACCGAATGAAGAGTGCTCAACCAACCCCCTGGGAAACAGCCTTTTAAAGAGCCCTAACAAACTTGTCAAACTTCTGCTGATTTGGAGAGCAGGAGGATCTGCTGCGTTTGTTTGGATCTAGATAAGAAACGCCCCCATAGGGCTGACACACCAGGGTTCACTGTACACGTACTTCCTGGCAAGCAATCGCCTCCTGTCAGAATGAGTGATTTCAGCTTCGAGTTTCTCAGCTGAGCTTACACGGACAACAACCCACAGGACAGATTGTGGATCACTATCAGGAAGATGTGCTTTAATCTTGTGTCCTGCACATCTTGCACAGTCCTGTGACAATAATGAACAGTCTTCCTACAAGGGTCTTTCAGTAATTGTCTTTTTTTGGTCATGTTCTCTGTGCTTATCTAAATTTTACAAAAAAGGTCATAATTTAAAGGTGATGTGTGGCTTTGATTGTTTCACAATGTGAAATCAATGAACCTGGACTGTGACTGTGACTGTGACACTGTGACATCAGAACCTGGACTGAAAACTCTCTATTATATTGTTATACTGAAAAAAGACATGCTGAGGTAGAATAAAAGCTAAACATAAAATAATTGGGGACAATAAATAAATGCTAATATTTATTTTATTTATAATGACTTTTTTTTTGTTTTACAAGAAAAAAAATCGGAGTATCGTTAAAATAAGATAAATTTAATACAAACTTAAGATAATAACAGTATCAGTTTTTGAATTTGACATTTTCTTACCCCATTATTTTATTTTTGTTATATTTATCGTTTTATTTACAAACAAGTAAAACCTACAACTGGCTAATAAATGTATGGAAATAAATATATAAATGTAAATAAAAAATAAATAAAAACTATTTATTTATTTATTATTTATAAACAATAGTCCTGTTCCGTAAAAAAAAAAAAATTCTAAAATTTCTTTAATACTCTTACTTCTCTTATATCTAAATATTATATTTTTTAAAAGTAAAATTAAGATAAGTTTGTTTTCAGAGAAAACAACAACACTATTATTTTTATTTGTGCTTTTTCCAAGTTTGTTTTATTCTAAAACAATCTTTTTTTTTTCTCAGTCTGCCTGTCAGGGATTTTCAGTGACCCTTTTTGCATGTTACATTGTTACATTATTATTGTGAGAGACAGTTTGCACACTAGTGGTGCACAAACAGACAAAGCAACCGGCAGTTCAGTTACTCAGTACTAACGTGTTCAGAACAACAGCACTCTTACTTATGTGAAATTGCTTAATGATTTTACTGATTGATTAATTAATTGCTGTTACATATAGAGTCATTAGTGGTGTATCAGTGTCTCTATATAATGTCATTCTTCCAGCATTCTGATGGGCTTGACTTTGAACCTCACACAAATCCCATCTGCACTGTGATCAATCACTCATCCATCCCATTAGCCTCCCATACTGCTTCTCTTCCACTTTTACAGCTGTTTACTGGAGGGAGGGATTGATTTCATGTTTTTAGAGGTATATGTTTGTTCCACCAATGTTTATTGATTGATTACTGTTGAGCATAGCAACTCTACATTTACACATGGCAAACTATACAGTGAGCTTTAATAAGCATGTTTTAACTTAATTTACATTCAGATTTAACTGAATTGTGGTTCTCAGTCTTTTTGACTTGAAGGCTACCGTTTTTTTGTTGAATTATGACAAAGCTGCTTTTTCATGAACATAAATCAGAATATTGATATATTAAATTAATTAACCATTATTTTGAGATTACAGACATTTTAAGAACGGCATGTTCTTCAATAAAAAAACACTAGTTATTGTGGGGGAAAATAAATATGATTGGAGTTTACATCTGGATTGTGTATGTGTGTGTTTTGCATTTCAATGGAGAGTTAGATCATTTTTTACATATGAACAATAATTTATTAATTTAAATGTAATTATTTAAATCACACTGTGGTCTCCTTGGAAGTAAAAAAGGGACATGACCAGTGAACCAGTGCAATCCAAGACGACGAAAAGCTAACAAGGTCAAAGTCAACGCAGCTATTTCCCTTTTGGCGTGACTGTAAAGATCAACACTGTCAAAGCATTCAAAGCAATTGCATAATTCATGCTGAACAAATAAATAGGAAACAAATACTGCAGTGTAGTAGCCTAAATAAAATACAATGAAACATACGAAAAGGTACTTTGGCCTAAATGGTCTGGGACTAATTGTCACAAGGTCTGTTGGCCAAAACACATTATGTATATACATCTATGTATATATGGCTAAAACTTGCTTTTAATGTTTTTGTGTTCATTTTCCATTTTTTCTTTTCATTTAAGGATTTATATTGTGTAAAGTAATTTGTTTGCTGATGTTTTAATTTTGTGGAATTTTGTTTAAAAGAAGGTGTTTCATGTCAAACCATTTTCAGTGGCCACATTCACAAAGTAGCAGCAGTTAATACGGTTGTCAGTCATGTATTTGAGTGCGTAATACGGCTACATTCACACACACACAGCTACGAAAGTGACAACCGCATACTAGCCTATAATCAAAATCATTTGCGTGTGTGTTTTTTCAGTACGTTAACTTACAGAGGCGGAGATAATGTATAAATTGCGTGTCATCTGAAGGTTTTAGGTTTTCCACCGGAACCGCTTCTATCAGTTTTGTGGTCCACTCGCGTAGCCTAAAGCTCGTGTCGCAAGATTTGACGGATGAACTCGCGCCTCGGTTGGACATTGTCGTGACTGTGATAAGACTTTCCAATAATGATTTTATATTAACTTCACTCTCTGTCACTATGCTCGGAAAAGTTCAGTTAAGAATTCAGTAAAGTCATGTGACCAGTATTTTCTGCCTGCTGTTTGTAATTGGAACTAACGATGCCCTATTTTGATTGAATCATTCTTTTTAATCGGTTCTTTCCAATGAATCGGTCATACGGGTCAGCAAACCGGTTTGAATCGATTCGCGATTCAGTCTGAACGATTCGGACAGGTTCGGAGCGATTTTTTACTAAATTAAACATTGAATACACATTAAATAATCTAACAATCGTTAGATTAGAACACAGAGAACAAAATAACTGAATTGCAGTAAATTTTTAACCTGCAATGCATTGGAATCAAACTAAAAATGAGTTGTAGTGAAGCTTGAGAGTAACACTGGTTGCAAAACAACTATCAGGAAGGAAGTTAAAGTACTAAAAATTAGACTTCCATGGTATTTTTTCAACTTTCATTATTACACTTACCCTAAAAAATCATTCACTGGAGTAACAAGTGTGAAAACCAACCCGTCCTGCCTAAACAGATGTGTTTTCACAAATATTGTACATTGACATTAAAAGGTTAGTTCACCCAAAAATGAAAATTAGCCCATAAATTACTCACCCTCAAGTCATCCTAGGTGTATATGACTTTCTTCTTTCAGATGAATCCAGTCGGAGTTATATTAAAAATTGTCTTTGATCTTTCAAGCGGTTTAATGTTGGTGTATCATCCCTTGAAGAATTGAAGAAATTGTCTGGTTTTCTATTTAACAATATTGGTGACTGGACAAAAAAAAAATTATACAAATGGAAAGAAATGCATAACTCTTGAAGAAAGATGAAAAATCAGTGTGACTCATAAAAAATGCCTCTCCAGTTAAACAATTTACCAAATTCACAACAATCTTTATTCAAATACAAAATTACAAAGCTTTTATTTTTTTTTTCTGAGGACATAAACGGCATGAGAAACAAACAGTGTCTAGGGCTGAATCTCATATCCAAGAGGATCCAGCCCTTTATCCAGCAAGAGTAGAGAGGATTCCCTCATCTTCTGGAGAAACTTATGCAGCTCCTCTTTAGAAAAAACCTGACAGAGAAAGAACGTTCAGATGAATGAATATAAAAACAAGACAGTATCATATTTACCATGAGCACTTATGTTCAGGAGTGAAGGAGTGGCCTCTTGCAATTTCAGTCAAGCAATATTCATGTTTATATGAACAATAATTCTTTAAAGGTTTCAGACATCACACCTCATATAATCTGTGTTGGTCAGAGGCGATGATGTCAGCCAGACGCAGACTCTCCTGGTGGCGTTCAGTGCGCTGCAGAACGGTCAACAAAAGGAACGACATCATGGGCAGACACAAACGCCGCAGCAGAGTCATCTGATGAGCACGCTCAGAGTCTTCCTCAGCGTCCTGCAAAAACACAACACACCATGAATACAGGACATCCTACACTCAAACAATGCACCCAAGTGATGTTATAACAACTCAGTGACTCTGGTTTTTAATTTTTTCTGACATGTTGGTGTTGGATGTTGCACAATCATACAGCTGGATAAAACAAAAACTGTCCGTCTTCATTTCAGGATGCAAAGCAACAAAATGTGATTATTTAAAGGGGGTGATTATTTTCTATACCCACTGTGTGTGTGTGTATATATTTAAGGTTATAAACGACCTCAGACATGACAGCTGTGTTTGCCAAACCTGTAAATTAATACAGAACCCTAGGGATGGAACTATTACCGGTTTCACGATAAAATGCCCTGACGGTTAGTATTATCGTTTAAAATTTAATTATCATCAAAACCGTATTTGATTATCGCGCTTTTGAAAACTCGCGGTAAATCCTGTCCAGCCAGCATCAGTCTGACGCAGAAGCAGTTATTATTATTATTATTATTATTAGGGCTTCATGTTAATGGTAATTTAATGTTTATGCTAAAAAAAGTGCATATAGCTATTTGTTGTTTGTTGATTTTCAAATATAAAACTTATTGAAATGTTTTCAGTGTGTATCAGTTCTTTTTGAACATTTTCATCTAATTTTAACAAAACCGTGATAGTATTGATAATCGTGATAACTTTGGTCACTATAATCGTGATATGAAATTTTCATACCATTACATCCCTAGAACCTACTCACCTCTCTGACATCCACCATCCAACCTCCATCTACAAACAGCAGCACATTATAAATCCTCTCCTTCACATCCTCGGTCAGCGCTCCCAGACGCCCCTGCCAGTTCTCATACTCCATCTGGAGGAAGTGACAAAGAAAAGCCATTACAGATAAAAGCTAGAAGTGTTCACTACAGAGTACTAGTCGGCACTGTGTGGACGGTCTGTTCTGACCTTGTACTCGGCTTCTTTCATCTCATAGGCCACCTTCTCTGTAAACTTAGCTTGAGCAGGTGCTGTGGGTTTCACCGGAGGACAGTTCATGTGCTTGAACCACTCGTTAAAAGCTTCGTGAGCTTCCTGTTGGGGTGGGGAAACACAAATCGGCTCACAGTAAGATCATGTTGCTGTCACTACGTTCATTACAGAGATGCAGAAAGATGCAGCTCCTCACCAGATAGGCACGGATGCACAGATGCTCACGAATAGCATTCTCCTCCTCGGCAGGAAGGGGCGTGTCCATGCCCTGCTCCTCCCACTGGTGGTAGATTTCCCTCATGGAATCTTCAGGCACTTTGGTGAAGACCATCTTAGCAGCGTCATGCTTCTTAGATGCTACGACAAATATATAACTTTATAAACATGTATTTTAGTTCCCTTCACTCCACAACAATTCAAAACCGTACAGACCAAGAATAGAAAGTGTTAAGTATTTCATTAGCATAAATAACACCACCCTGCATCATATTTGCTGAATGAAATCCAATACTTGTTTCTTACTAATTTTAGGGAGCTGATAAAAACAGCCCGTTTTGCACTCGCATTTTTGCTGTATTATCCCTTAATCACCAAAAAACTGCCACAAAGAAATTATTCCTATCTTCTTCCGAGTCATGTTACAACTATTTGTACAATTCTCACATGTATGAATGATCCTGAAGACATTATTTTATGTCTAATCTGATGTCACCGTTACAATTATGGTCAGTGACAGAGGAAAATGCAAACATGACTAAGATGTTTTCTGCTACACCTGTAAGTGTTTTGCTACATCTAAACAGCAACAGAAAATTACAGGCTGTCAAAAAACTTATTTATAAACTTGTGTCGAGTTGTGACATCTTTGAGATTAAACTGAGTATTTGAACACATTTTCCATTCCTTTCAGATTGTAAGTTAAATTATACATTTTGAATACTTGTTTTTTTTCCCCATTAAAACAAACTTCTGATATTTGACTGCTTTTGTTACTTTGATAAGTGCAATAAAGCTGACACACATACACAGATATTATATATATACTGTATATATATATATATATATATATATATATACACAGGTGCATCTCAATAAATTAGAATGTCATGGAAAAGTTCATTTATTTCAGTAATTCAACTCAAATTGTGAAACTCGTGTATTAAATAAATTCAATGCACACAGACTGAAGTAGTTTAAGTCTTTGGTTCTTTTAATTGTGATGATTTTGGCTCACATTTAACAAAAACCCACCAATTCACTATCCCAACAAATTAGAATGTGAGCCAAAATCATCACAATTAAAAGAACCAAAGACTTAAACTACTTCAGTCTGTGTGCACTGAATTTATTTAATACACGAGTTTCACAATTTGAGTTGAATTACTGAAATAAATGAACTTTTCCACGACATTCTAATTTATTGAGATGCACCTGTATATATATATGGACTGTCAATTTAACGTGTTAATTGAATTAATTAGTTATGGAAAAATAACGCGATTAAAATATTTTGACACAGTTAACGCACCTGCCCTGTCCCAGGCCTGTACGTCATCATGCATTTGACAAACATGATGCAGGGCAACAACTTACTGTGTAATGTAGTCCATAAATGCAGTTATGTGCCCCTAAAATTCAAGATATTGGGGCAAAAAATGCTCCTGTATTTGTTTTTGTCTCATATTTATATCATATGATAAGTGATATCACATGAGCAGCGAGAGCAATATCACACGGGTGCTTGTTTTTGTCCCGAATAGCACGAGTGCAAATGTAATTTTAAACAACAGTTCTGTAGATAAGAAGTTAATATTGTGTTATATTTTAAACACAATATTGTCTGTTTTTGCTCAATTTTGCCGATGAAATCATTACCTATAAAGCCACAGCAGAACTGTTGTGAGTCTCCAAGCAACACAACTGTTCAATTCAACTCATGTTTATTTGTATAGCGCCTTTTACGATACAAATCGTTGCAAAGCAGCTGTACAATATATGTTTCTACAATATATTTACTAGTAGCTTATCAGTGGTGACTATGTCAGTAAATGTACGTATGGCAGAAATGTACGGAAAAATCAATTAAAGACGTAATCAAACACACTATGAACACTATTAACAGCAATTATTACTTATAGCAAACTTATAGCAAAATTTGGTAGTTCTGTGATTCAGAAACTGTGATTCGTTTCTGAATGAATCCACGTTTTGAACAAATCGTGTGAACCAATGATTCAACAGACCATTCATAAAAGAGCCCTTTACTTCATTCCTGAATGAATCAGCCATTTGAAAGAATCAAATAAATGAATGACTCAATGACTTCATAAAGACATTTAGCACCACCTGCTGATGGTTTCTTATTTAGAGAATAATTTCACTGAAAAAAAATAATAAAATAAAAGGTTTTGGTTACTAATGGCTTTCATTGTATGAACAAAAAATACTGAGATGTTTCACAAATGATCTTCTTTTATGTTCCATAGTTTATGTTAGGCAGTTGTAGCCT